ACTTCATTGTGTTGAAGTGGTTGGTTGTGATATTTGAGTGGATGTAGATGAGATTGATGGAGGACGAGTTGAAGTAAGAGAGGTAGCTGGGGATGAGAGGGATGAGAGGAGAGGAGAGAAGAGATGGGTGATCGATCATTAGGGGGTATTTATACCTGTGAGGAGAGAATCTGAAAGGAATCACTGTGAATAGCTTGAGAGTATGATCGTGAAGGTTCATAAGGATCGTGATATAAAGACTTCACGTTTTTGCTAGTAGAGTTACACCAGTGAAGAAAGGAAGGACTAGGATGGCTGTCAGAACATACAAAAACGGATTATCCCGGGATATGCCCGCCCTTACACTAGGCTAGTGAATTATCTTTGGCTTCTACTGTCTTCATCAATCAAAGTAGAATGGACTCATGCAAGTAGCCTGATATTTGGATAATTTCTTTATGCGCCTGCTGCTGTGAAACGTCAACTTACGAATTTTTTGAGGGTTCGAGTCATGATGATCCTTGAAGCAAACAAAGAACCTCTGCCTCCTAATGATTTAGCTTTACGTCTCAATTTCTGGAATCACTATTATTAAGGCCAGCCAACGTCTTGCCAGTATACACTCAGATCAACCCAGGTTCAATACGAATTTCCGGAATTACAAGTCCCATTTGTGCACAGCGTAACAGGAGACAGATGCGGTACGTATGTCCTGGACACGTTTGAGGCCAGGTTGTTATTGGTGGAAACGAGGATCTGGCTGGCTCTAACGACGTGCTAGCCGACGTGCTTGAGAGCGATGAGCGCACAATTTCTATCCTCTGGATCCCATCACTTCGCCCCTCAGGCGTTGCAGATCTGATCGAAGCTCGGCGAACATGTCTACTTCAGGTCCCTCCATTTCATGACATTTTCCAAACCAAGCAAGCCCTGAGATAGAACCTTCTGTTCTTCCGATGGGTATCGGTCAAGAAGTGTACGACCCTCTTTCTCAGCTGATACAATCTCGCGAAGTACTTGGAACTCGAGAGACAGGGGAAGCGGCTATGTCAATCGAGGTCCGGCTTCTTATGCTGCGAATCCCAAACTGTATCTGGGCGGCAACCCACGCAGCATAACCTTCTCCTCCAGGAGTTCGTATTTCCAAGCCGACGACGCATGTTTGAGCAGGATCTTACCTACCCATATAGATAACGCACTGTTGGAGTGCCGAGCAAATTCCGCTGGTCGTCTTACTTCACACGAGCAAGTTTGTGTTCATGTCCCTTGGGTCACCGTACCAGAAAGAGTAGTCGGCATTGTCGGTGAAGTTGAGAAATATACGGAGCAGCGCTGTCTGCGGTATTCATGCCATTCATCTTCGGTGGCACCAACACCCGAGGCCCTGCTCCGCTGGCCGCAGGTAACTTGAAATTGCTTTGTAATTGATTGCCTAGCTGGTTTCGAGAATTCGGGAAAAGGCAGTTGTCAGGTTGCTTGCCCCTGTTTCCCAGCACAATGGGAGAGATGGTGAGTGGTGTCCTACCCAAGGTGTACTCTCGGGAAAGCTCCATTCTAAGGCGAAAAACAATCTCGCGGGCGAAATCGAGTGATATGGCATCGTGAGTGTATGAAGGGGGGACCTTGATTGTACCGGTCGAGTTGTTGAAATGGAACCGATACGCGATTCCAGGCAGAGCATTATGACTCTCGTCGTGCAGCTGGCACGAGCTGCCTTCGTCATTTCCGTAGTAGTGGACGAACGGCCGCAACCTCTGTGCGATATACTGATATCACCTACGTCTGCCCGCTCGGTTGTGGATGCTGACCGGACGGGAACGTATTGTATGAATCGTCCTTCCAGCTGTCATATGCAACTCAAGCCTCTGCCGCCAAATACATCCTAGTTCCAATAAAAATGAGGTTATAATCAGATAAATTCTGCCTGCCAGGACGTTTTGTAAGATCAACTGCCCATTGAGGGAAGATAAGAATGTAACGGAGAACACCGCACTGCAGAAGGAGATGGTGAAGACTCGATGAGAAATGTTGGCTGAGAGGAGGTAAGAAGTTCCATGCTATCCAGCAGGTGAACAAACACAAGTCCACGCACTGCACATCACAAAACTCATTCACTGGCTTGGCCACGGTTGAGGATCGGACAACCTTGTCATTCAGGCTTTCGTTCTCTCCACAGCCGGGTAGAGGATCTGTGTCGATCCCCGATGTCGTCGAATCTATGGACTTGTAGCATATTAGTCAAAGCAAAGTAGCTCTATGGTGGATGATCAAGCCAGAGTGAAGGACTGCTTGCCGTGGACCTGTATGGACACTCGACACAGCATACTATGCATTCATTCTCATTTCCTGGCTTCTATTTCCCAGCCAGACTTCTTTGCCATACTTGAAAGAGTCATCAGGGGCACTTCAGTCGGCTTTCAGTTCCAAGTTTCTCTTTGGCAATGAACCTATTCGGATAATAGACCCTCTCAATGGCACTATTTTCGTTGGACAGCCCGGCATGACAAGTGGTATGAAAGCTCTGTTGCTTTCTTCTCATAGATTCATGTATTGTTGACCGCAAATTAAGGCTCCATCAGCCAACAGGCATGGGATGTGGAGATAAGAGACATGCTGCGGGTATCAAAACACAGTGTGGCTGGTGAAGGTGCACTAGTGGTTTCGGTTGCAACCGATGCAGAGGTCGCCTGACGGCCGGAGCGGATTTCAAGATCATCACCGATGTAAGTTCCAAGTTTCCTTGGGATGCCATATCCAGTTGCGATTGACTCGAAACCCCGCATCTGAGAGCTGAAGGAGGGTGGAATGTCTCGGAACGGTGGACGACCAGGTTAGCGATGGAACTTTTAATTCTTGCGGTGTGCTCAATCAATATTCAAAGTCGACTGACAACCGTGACTCGGATAAAATCGCTCGCCGATCGTCGACGAGTGTGCATGAATATCTACAAATCATTCGAGTTGACTGGAATATTCTGATCCGTGAGATCTAGGCTAGCCACCTTTTGAGGACTGCATGCAGGACCGAGCATCCACATGAGCAGATGCATGCATATTCTTCCGGTGCGGATGAAGCCAGCACTAAATGCCCTTCGAGCATCCATCACTAGGTCACTCGACGACTTCAGAGCCCTTTGAAACATGCAGATCACTAGATGATGTACACCACACGGATTTGTACCTCTGGAAAATCTGTGCTTGTCTTCAATACGATCAGTCCCTCTGCACCGACACTCTTCAAGGATGGAACTTACTAATGTCATGTAGCTTCAAGAACTTATATATCCACAGCGGTCAACTACCTAGTCTGTGGATGATGGATTAGTGGGATCGTTTGCATGGCATACAAAAGCAGCACACAAGGCAAAATCCTAAGTTTGAGTCTCCTCATTCCTCATTGGCATTTGTGAGAATGGCAGCAAGATTGAGGCTTCTTGTAGTATTTTCTCGTGCGTATCCCACTCTCAAAGAAAACTTGTAGACTTCTCACTGCTGATGTCCAGTACAAGTTAACAGGGGCGAAAAAAACATACGGAAATCAAGGATGAAGAGCATTCAATGAATGCAACAACTGACGGCGTACCTCTCCCCAAATAGCGCACAGCACATTTCCACCGACCGCTCTTCAAAGCAACTTCTCATATATATAGGAGCATCACTGCATTGGGCCGATAATGCATTTGCAATGTAATTACTGGTGTGCAACCGTAAAATGCAAGAGGGAATCATGAAGTGAAGATCCCTGCCATGGTGGAATTCAATCCGAATGCTCATACTAACTCATAAGTATACAAGCAATTGTATATAGCATGAGTAGAGAAAGTTTGACGCTACTAAACAGACAGAAGCGTGGGAACTCTGCTCATATTTATAGCTTGAAAAGGCATGTTGAGACGCGCTTTCAGTAAGAGTCAGGACAAAGATAGATACGATTGCTCCAGATAGATCAAAGAGCTGCAGAAAAGCCCTCTAATGGGATCCAATGATGACAAACAGATAGGTCATTAAGCTGACACACATCATGATAACCTTTGCCGATATGAAGAGAGGTACTTTGTCTATGTACCTGCAGCAAAGGCACTCTCGTAGTCTTGGCATTATCCGCATCCCGCACTATTCCATTCTAGGATAACAAATATCACGTGATACTACCCAGATCCCAAAGTTCTTCACAAACTCCCATAACTCGGAATCCGTCACGGCAAGTCTCCATCCCCTTCTTGCTGTCCCTCCCTCGCAAGTCGCCAAAATGGCCAAGAAATGTATGCGCAGATTTCTGCTCCAGAGCTGAGTTCCACGCGAACTCGGAGTTGCTCATCCCCAATACAATGCTGATCCGCGGAGAACGGATGACTGACTTGCGATCCTCTTCACAGCGAAATCTCGCACGATTGCCGTTCGCCTGATCTCCATGGCTATGACCGGGTACTATCGCACAATGATCCGCCCTCGTACGCACCGCCCTCTGAGCATGCTCAAATACGACCCCGTGGTGAAGAAGAAGGTCTTGTTCCTGGAAGCGACAAAAGGTGGAAGGGCGAAATGATTCACGATCTCTCTTATTCAAATATCCGCCACGTCAAGTTCCGTCGCTTCGAATAGGGGGATTGTCCTTGTGTATTGGCTCCGTCTTCCTCGGCGTCAATGAATCCACTCCGTTCCTGAACCATCAAACGTCTCAAAGGCAGCGACAAGTCGAGCCCGGTACTTCCATCAACGATCATGTACATTAGGGAAAACAGCGGCAGAAGCGATACTCTGGGCTCCTGAGCGGACTCATGTATTGCTAAGCTGTTTCTATTCTGGTCTTGCATTTCGGCGTTTAGAGCAGTACATTCTGGGTTAATTTTAACATGTTCGATATTTTCACTTTCCCATCATCTTCTCGACTACATAAGCAGTGTCTCCCTTTCGTGACTTCTTCAATCTTGCGGTAAATACGCTGCGTATCTCGTTTCTCCTTTGTCCATAACTATATTCTCACTAACCTTCAGGCGAATTATTGTCGAGCTGAATTCGGCTCTATATACCATCAACCTGTTCGTTATATCTCTGACTGAAACGGGCATTGTAGCGGTCACCTGTGTCCATCAGCAGCTATAGCTTCTTTGCAAGGGGGAGAGCGCTTACTGCGTAATCTTCGGCCTCCGCGCCTTGCGCCTCGCGTCGTCCACCTGCTGTTTTTTGGATTGCTTTCAATCGCTGATGATTGCCTACTACTTCCGGATGCTAATCTAGCAGGGCTTGTTCTGCGCTCCAAGTAATTGGCAGTCCCTTGCGCTTGCCCTCTAGTCCCAGAATTCGATGGCGCCACAGACACTCGTGCTCTCTTATCATTGCTCGTGTATTGATTCTCCGTATGAGTATCACGATTCGACAGTTCGCTAGCCGGGGAAGCATTGGATTGGTTTGAGAATTTGGGGCTCCCCTTCGATTTAGGAGAGCGCTGGAATCTGCTATAAGTGCGTTTCGTGGCGCGTTCTGGTCTCTTGACACGACGATTCTCCGAAGCGCTCTCCTCAGGAGGGTTTTCCGTTGCTGAGAACTTCCGCTTCTCAATCCTGGTTGCCTTGTTTTCTGCCTTGAAAGTGACGGTTTTCTGCTTTTCCTGATCCTCGGTTGCGTTCGTATGACCATCAACCGTTTCCGTTGCCAAGGAGTTCAGCTTCAGCGGCTGGTGCTGTGAGCTCCGCGACTGTTCACCTATCATTCCGAGGTCGAAACCGTCGACTTTGTGCGATGTAGCTGCATTCCCCTTCTCGTTCCTTTCTTTCGGCGTTTCCACGACCGTGTCGCCCTGCGGTGACTTGTTCTTCGGGGTGAGGTCTAGCATATCTGCAAGATCGCTAGGTTCAGGACTCAGAGATGAGCCAGATGCGGGTGATAGCTGCTGTCGAATACTCGAAAATGGTACAATTTCAGTTGACGATTCCGGCTTTTCACAGTGACCGACGGAGTGGATGTTTCCAGCTCTCGCATTAGTTTGAACTGGGGAAGACAGCCCGCCGCCCTGAATGCTCTGTGTCCGATATATCACCTCTGTCGTCTGAACAAAGCCCTGAATAGGACTCTCACAGATCCTATTCGGTGTCAAGATCACAGAGGAACTTATAGTCGCATTCGCGACATTAGGAGCTGCAGGGACAGTAGTCCTTTGTGAATCGGAACACGGGTTGTCGTTATCTGTCGAGCTCAGACAGTCCTTCAGTTTGTCCCAAGTACCCGGCAATGGTCCTCCTAATGAAGGATCATCTGGTCGAGCGATGGCCTCTTTGATATTTTTCATCCAGCGTTCCGAGTCCTGAAGCCTTTTGAGAAGGGCGTGTATTTCGGATTTCGCCTTCGCTTTACCTGTTTCCAAGTTTGACCGCGCCGAGTCGGCATCGCAAAGATTTTTCTTGACCTGTGTGAGTTCTTCCTCTTTCTCCAGTAGATCACTTTGACATGTGTCTAGCTTCTTCTGGAGATCTTCGAATTCAAGGTCTTTCGAGGACAGCCTATCATTGAGCTCGGCGATACTTCCTTGGACTTCATCGAGCTGCTGGGAAATTGCCTTCTGTTGAGCCAGAGCAGCAGCCTCTGACTTTCGCAGTAGCTCGAGTTCCGCTACCTGTTCACTCATCCGAGCTGCGTCCTGGGTACGGAAGTCCTCTAATTTCTGTATTTGCTGTTCTCTCTGCAGGACCTACAGGAATCAGCAATTTTCATTAGTTTATCTCCAAACCCGATTTACTCACCATCGACTCCAATTCATCTCTTTGCTTCTTCGCTGCCTGTTCCCTTTCAGCCTGCAAACCATTAGTGAACCTGCCATTGTAAGACTCTATGTTGATTACCATTGACGCTTGGGCCTCAGCCAGCGACTCCCTGATCGTGGCCATATCCTTTTCCGCTTCTACTTTCTCTCGCAGCAGTTTATGGATCTGTTGCTCAAACCTTGCCTTGGTCTGGTCTCTGGAAATGACGCTCGCTCTGTTCAATTCCTCCCGAATTTTCGTCTCGATAGATATCGTCTTCTGTCGCAGGCTGACGGCTTGGGCCTCGAAATCCTGTGCTCGTTTCATCTCTTCTTGCATCTTTGCAGTGACCTCCAGAAGGGCACGCTTTGCTTCCTCGCTTTCGATCTCCTTCGCCTTAGCATTCTCTTCAGCAGAACTCATTTTGATTGAAAGCTGCTCGATTTGATCTTTGAGTGCGGCATTCTCCGTAGATAGACCGCAGACATCTGTCGCTAGAGCCGGGTTCTGCCCCTCAGAGATACTCTTTTCTAGATGAGTAATATGCTGGGCAAGATCAACCTCTTTCTCATTGAGCGTCGTGAGAGAGGAGTTAATTTTATGCATGCTTGGCTCGAGAGCTTCCAACCTTTCTCGCACCGCGCTGTACTGTTCTTCGTTGAGCCCGAGCTGCTTGAGAAGTGCCATATGACAGCCGTTATTGTTTTCAAAGAGCTTCAGTTGCTCCCTAATATTATGTGCCACATTCTCGTTGAGCGCGAAGCTTCTTTCGAGTCCCTCATTTAGCTTGAAATCGAACGTATTCACACTGACAGCAACAAGTCAGCATTCCACTCCTCAGCACTTTGTCTCAGATCATACCTTGAGAAGATCTTGTGGACGATGTCATTGCATTGCTGGATATCCACTCTGTCCCTCGAAAGCTGTTCGCTCAGTTCTTTGAGAAGTGAAAAGCTCTTCTCGAGTGTCAATTCCAATGTGGTTTGAGTTGCTGCCTGGGAAGCATTCACACTCTGACCGAGTATGTCAAACGCAGAGTCGAGCTTGCTGAGCATCTCCTGCTGTTCAGTCCGGATTACCGCAAGCTGCTTTGTTTGAACTCTCGAATTATTGTGAATGTACGACTCAAGAATTGATGATCTTCTCCTTTCTTCCATCAACTGGGTTTGAACAAATACTGTCTTTTCTTCTGCATTTTTCAAGGCCAGCGTCATCGCTTCGACCTTTTTCTCAGACTCTGCGAGTTGATTCCTTTTTTCTCCGACGAGAGCGAGAGCCTGAGAAATTTGGCGCCTAGCATCTTCAATGCCAGCCTCGATTTCGGTTCTTTCATTCTCCAGAGTTGCTTTTGAGTCTTTGAGTCGGAGGTTCTCATTGCGAAGATTTCGATACTCGGCTCCAAGCTCGTTGAGAATACCCTTGAACTTCACTAGTTTTGCTTTCCAGTCCTCTATCTGGGCTCTGTATGTCTTTGATTGACACTTGCTACGCTGTAATTGATTGTCAAGGGTCTCGAGCTGATTCTTCAGAGTTTTGTTTTCCTCCGCCAGTTCAGACATGTCAGCTTCCATTCGCTCCTGCAGATTGGAAGCAGCGATTTCATTTTCTTCTCGAACTCTCATCCGATTGATTAGAAGCTGGAACAGATCTTCCTCTGACACTTGCGAGCCTCCGTTGTCCGAAGCCAGTGTCATAGTTCGTTTCGCACTGGGCAACCTTTTCCCGTTTGCGGGACGTCGCTTCGAGATCCTGAAATGATCAGTCGTAGGACCCAATGAATGCATATTAGGCACCCCCTCTCCGTTAATAACCTCATTCTGGCGGTTCTGATTTTGCTGCATAGCAGCAGCTCGTTCCTGCTTTTCATTGTGCTGCCTTATCCCACGTGGAACATGGTGTTCAAGCTTGGAACCCGTCAGTAACCCCTGCGAAAATGTTGGAGGAAACTTACACTCGGTTGCGGAGTCACAGAGTTTGTGTTGTTGTCTATGAAGTTAGACTTCCTACACAGGACTTCTTTCAGGCTTTGCCCACCTGGATTTCCTGCATTCTCGGCGATGCGTTGAATGTCGCCCGCTGTTTGCGAACCACCATCTTGTGCTTTCTGGCTTTGTAGTCGATCCGTTGGAGTATTTCTGCAAGCATCGTTTTCGGCACTGTTGCAACGGTTTGCTGCAATTCCCGAGTCCTGGGGTTTGTGTGTCGCTGGAGAGCAGGGCCTCGTCGGGCTCGAGCGGGATACGTTATCTCGGATCATTCCATACATCGTGCAATCCTTGTCCGAGGCATGAGAGATAGAACTTGAAGGACAATTAGTATATGTGAAAAGCGGTAGCATCGGAGGAACGAACTTTGCTTGTTCTTGATGTCTGACTTGATCAGCCATACCACGCCTATTAGTTTGTTCTAAGGAAGGACTTCTAGGTGCACAAGGCCTCTTTGTCAAGGATTGTAGCAAAAGCGGCCTTCCACGTGGACCAGGTTTTCCAAACGAGAATCCCGCGACATCGAGCCCAGAGCTTTGGGGCCGTTCAAGAAGCAGTGGAGCCGGACGAGCTTCTTGCGGTCGATCTGACCCCTTGTCTTTCTCCATAACCGCCTTCAGATTCGGTGAGATGGGCTCATTGTCGTTTTGTTCCATGTGGAGAAGCATTAGATCTTCATCGCCCTCATATTGAGTTGCAAGGCCGTCACGCTCAAATTCAGATACAGCTAGAGAGTTACCAGGCGAAGAAGGGCCAATGTTTTGATTCTCCATTTCGATATTGTCTTGAATGCTCAACGCAGCAATGAACGTCGACTTCCCTTGAAATGTACGGCACGCACATTGGCGTCCTACTCAGGGAAGAGTCTTCGCGGATGTCCCCAAGTATTAGGATAGTTCTTGTGCGAGTCTGGAGAGAAGTCGAGCAAGAGAGACGTAGAGAGACCAAGGGACTGAATGGAAAGAATTCTTTTCGAGATGAAAACGTAGAAATAAGATCGCCAGCTCCCTCAACGGAAGAAACGTCTTCGTCAGGTGGTAGCTTCCGTTTTGGAAAGTACCACGTCTTTGCCTCATAAGGCATCAAAATCCAATAGCTATACTCCGTTAGGGACTCAGGATCATACCGATGCCTTTTATGGAGGATGCTCTTTTTTTTTTAAAAAAAAAAAAAAAAAACAAAAACTATACAAAAGCTTACAGACTGTACAAGACCAATAGTAGTCTCATACTATGGTTGGCGTCCCTTCTAACCATGTTATGTGTCGAAGGAGTTCCTCGGTTTTAAGTAGAGGCAAGATATCGTCACTCATGTATACGGCATAAAGATGTCACAATAGCTACACGAAGGTACGCAGACTCAGTATTCAGACGAAAACATCATGAAAAAAACATGCAAAGGAAGGATGAAAAGGGGTTATGAAGAGCAGCGTAACATGCTTCAGAGTTATCGTAGTTGGCGACAAAAATTGGTCGAATTATGGTCGAACATTTTAGATCAATAGTAAATTCTGAGAAGCTTGGATTGAAACTGCCATTAAGCGGCATGTATGTGCATTATACCCTGAACTGAGGCTTGAAGGGATACTTAGCGAGGAGTTGCGGTGTGTATATTCCCACAGTAGCGCAGTCAGATTCGAAATCATGTCAACACATCACGGTAGCAAACATCCTCTTTCTTTACCACGACAAGAAATTCCTTAGGCAGAAAGGCTTCGGTATTTCTCAATCTTGAACGGCACACAAGACTCCACCTAGAACATAAAGATGACCTCTATGGATTCTTCAGATCCCGGCGGCCAGCGCTTAGCTACCATTGGTTGCTGGATTAAAATGACAAAACGAGCCGTCGCACCCTGAGCGTCAATCACAGAGAATCAGCGCCAATATCACACTGTGATGAGCGTCCCGCTCCACTGATTCGTCGATGGGGTCTTGTCCCTGAACTCTGAAAATAGTGCACGTTCCCTGAAGATGCAGAATCTGGTGTGTACATGGGTCGAGATAATCTTCTTCGAGCCTATCACCAGGCAGTATGCAGCTTTAACGCATCAGTTTCTTCACAAATCCTCAAGCCCCTTGAGGGCTGTGCCATGCTTGAGGGTGTATAACAGTACTATAGACCCCGGGCTCGTCTTTCCTCCAGCGCTTGTTTATTTGCGATTATCTCTCCGTGGTGAAATTCTACAACCGTCTAACAGAATTTTGAATAGCACATAGGAGACAGTATTAGGAGAGTGGATTCGCCAAGGAGCATCCTCTTGCGATGTATAGAACTATGATTCTCTGCTATTGCGCTTTCTTCAGCCTTTTTCTGGCACGCTCGGCAGCACAGGACTACACGGATGTTCAAAATGAAGCCGGAGCATCGGGTCCATCGTCAGATTCAGTGAGCATCTCATCAAAAGGAATGATCGTTCTCTGTACAATTGTTGGCGTGGTTGTGGTCATCGGATGTTTGTTCCCTTCCCTATCCCGATATCCTCTCTCCTCTACATGTACTGATGTATTCTCATCGCGCAGTATCCTCAACTGCTCTTTTCTTCGTTGCCAAAAAGCGCCAGTGGGCGATGCGAGAGACTATTCGTCGTTCTGCGCGACAAGTCGTCCAAGCAATCAAGACGCCCTTGACTCCCAGATTCCCGAAGGTCCCTGAGCAGCTCAGAAGAACCCAGACGAAAGGAGACCAGAAGGAGACAAGGAATCAGAGACTCAATGACCTGGAGAAAGGATTCAAGACTTCGAACTCCAGCAACTGCTCCGTCCAGATCACTGCCGGCGAACGAGCTCAAGGCAATGAGAAGAAGACCAGAGGTTGGGGATCACGCTTCGCATTTGATCGCTCGTAGATCAAAATGCGGGAGAAGTACCCCCTGATGCAAGAACGCGCAGGGCCGTTCTGTCCTTGGTTCTCGATACGAGTTTGCTACGTTCTTTCACGTTTCATTTGTCCTTGGTCTGTGGAGTTAGAGGCGAAAGGGATGTGCACCTTGGTTCCAATTATTATAACGATTCCCCTTGTTTATCTATTCGATGTCATGTTAATGCTGAGCTTAGAGCTTCATGGATAGTTTATCTGCAACCATTCCCTTGAATGAAATTCAAATAACATGGGTTTCCTCTAATGTACCTGGACCGTCAAAGTTAGAGATTTATAGTGCCTGAGTGTCGATTGCAGCGTCAGAGATCCGTTGAGGGAACTTCAAGAGAGGTATGAATTTTGTGGGCACTGTTGAATACGGCCCATGGGCCCACCCGGTGTCCCCGAACGTGAGCAGATGCTAAGCTTGCGGTTTGAGTGATATAATCAGAGTTTGCCGTCAAGAATTAGTTCTTCCCCTCTGAACGTTCTAGACAATTGCAGCGGGAAGCTTATCCACAAATAACAAGCCCATGTGTCTGTCTCGTCTTGACGAAGGCGAAGGTCAGTCACGGAAATGAGCCCCGAGACACGTCTTGCTAGTGCATGTATCTTATGCAGATTACTCAAATCTATCGATTTCTTGATGATGAGTATATCGACGGGGCCGATGCAGCTTTCATCTTGGCCAGGACCAACATGGATCTGGATCTAGTCTCTGTTACGCGAAATGGGAGTTGAAGACAGACCAGTCAAGGACAGAACAGAACGAGAGTCCAGAACGGCCGCTTGCTACATTGTAACCAAGTCATCTCTGCTCAGTAGCGTGGCTCTATCCAGCGTTTGGAGTCCTCGTCCCATGGTCTCCTTCATGAGGACATTTTCAGTCCTACCAGATTTGATGTATCTCGAACGGGCTGTCAAGCGCATTTTCTTCTCCGCATGAGAGAGCTTATGACGTGCAGCAGAGATGATAGTCAGATTGAGAGCGATGTATTCCTAGTCTCTGTTTGCGGTATCACTCCGAAAAAGACGCGACGAGTTCCAGAGCCCAGACCTAACTGATGAATATCGCCATGAGTGAAAAGCTGGGTCGCCGTGGCCGTGGTTTGTTTGTTGATTTGTTGGTGCTGGTCCTGACAAACCGGGGGAGAAACCGACGGAAGATGGACCTTCCAAGGGCGCTCCTCTGGCTGTCCTCAACTTAACCAAGTACTCAAAGTGGCACTGCGAAACGATTGGTTTTGCGATTCCAGGGGCAACAGACAGTCGACTTGTTGTCCTTTTAGTGAACTCTATAACTCCATCTACTTGGCCATGGAGCCCCGGCATCTCCTCCTAGCTGATTGCATGAGGGGAATCACTGGATTCGCCATTGAATTCTGATTTTCTCAACGCAGTCAACTTTACCTGTAAGTGAGAATGTCCATATATCTTCTGAACCTTCTTGTTATCATTGATTCTGATGAGACAGTCTTTGCAAGCCTACCCTCTCCCACATGTCGAACCCAGTACTGTCGTCCTTCTGACAGAAACGGAATACCATCTTGAACATTGAAATGAAATCAGCCTCTGCTTCTGCAGAACGACAAGATGAGAAGCAACAGAATATTGAGATCTTGGAAACCGCGAATCCCAGAAATACCCCAGACGAGCACAGTCCTAATCCTGAAACACTGCGAGTTCTCAATTTTGCAATCGACGATGAGCCATCTCCATCAACCCCCGGAATATTTGTCCTGAAACTGCCAAACCTTAGTCCAGAATCAACAGAGCGAATCTTTCCCATCAGCTCAGTCGTGTCGGTCGATTCATCCGCTCCGCAAACACCGGCAGTGGAGAATGCTGAGGAGCAGAACTCCCCTTGCGCTGAAAGTCCCCATTCGACTCTTACTGTTAGCAAGCAGTCAGCAGGCCAGCCGGCTACGCCATCGTCAGAAGACCGCAAGGACGCACCCTCGATTCAGAGCACAGTGGAAGCCTCTGGCAGTTCTTTGAACGTGACTACTGGAAGCAGGAAGCGACCCCCTTTAAAAATTGACTTGGCCAGAAGAGTTACCGATATATCGTTCGAGGATGTGAATCTGTCTTTCCAGGGGGGCTCTGGACTCGCGGAGCCATCCTCTGCTGCGGCCCAGGACTCGTACTTCGCAGGAGCAGGGTCCTGGATCGACCAAGCTGTGGCGGCAACCTGGACACAAGGCATGGAAGATGACTCAAACTTCAATCACATTCATGGTCTTGGTGCACTCGTAGTGCTACAAGAATCCAAAGGAAGTCTCATCGTCCAGGCTGCGAGCAAGAACACCGAAGAAGTTCTAGGCTACAAACCCGAACAGCTTTTCGGGCTACCGAGCTTCTGCGATATCGTGCAGGATGTTCAGAAAAAAGACTTTCTTGGCCGTTTTAACCTGGTTCGAGACAAGTGGTATAATGTCGAGCAGCATGGTCCAGATATCCACGAAGTCGACGTCCGCCAACGTTACGGGACAACGAGGCGACTTTGGTGTACGATGCATGCTACAAAGGCAAACTGTGGTCATATCGTATGTGAATTCGAGTTGATGAGAGCCGTTCTTGATTATTGGAGGAACTCAGGGCCTTCAAAATCGGTCTACGCAGTCTATGACAACACACGCACAAACGAGAGATCTGATGAGAAGACCAGCACTCCGGGTATGCCTCCTGAGATGCAGAACATGCTGAGAGGAATCAGAGGGAATTTCCAGTCTGCGGATATGTTGAGCGCCTTGTCACTTGTTATCCAGCTGGCCGCGAGCGCCTCCTCCCTGAGCATGCTTTTCAACTACTTTATTGGCATCATTAGGGAATTGACCTGTTTTAGCCGAGTGACAGTCTTTTATTTTGATCGTGACGGGAATGCAGTTCCTATGAACGATGCCGTTGACTCACGCGTCATTGCCAGTTTCCCGGAAGATGTGCATTTCCCCAAACCGCTTTCTCCAAGGGACTTGGGAAGATTTCATTTGCGCAACAAAGTTTGTCTCGAATACAGTCATAGACAGTCACACGCTGAGCTGGTTTACCGTGATTCTGAGAATTTGCCGAGCGAGTTTGATCTAGACCACTCTTACCTGTTGGCGAGATCACCGTACCTTGTGGATCATGTCACCGGAATGCCCGTCTTTGCTTGCATGTCTATCAATATAAATGCCTTCGGACGTGCATGGGGGCTTATAATGTGCCAGTCGTACGAGGAAGAGATACGGTTACCTCCACCAGTACAAAAGTTCTTTGGGCTAGTTAGCGACACACTTGCAAGCAATATTGAACGTCTTTCAAACACGATGACTGCCCAGATGCAGGGTCCGTTCAGTTCTTCGCATGATGGAGATGAGAAAGGCGATAGCTTACAGGTCAAAGACTTATTGACCTTGTTTAAGGCAGATTATGCTGCATCCTCGATGTTAGGTGAAACTAAAATCCTTGGAAAGCCCCACGATGCGCAAGAAGTGCTCGCTTTGGTGGAATACTTGAAACTGAAGGAACTCGGTGCTGTCTTGTGTTCAACGGACATGAGTCGCGATTTTCCAGACCTCAACTATACCCCTGGTTTCAAGTATCTATCCAACCTGCTGTATGTGCCCTTGTCAACGGACGGTCGAGAGTTTATCGTTTTCTTCAAGGCTTCGCAATGCGGAGACACCTTACGTGCTGCGACTGATGACAATGCTCGATGCCTGGACCAAGGACAGCCAACAGACCTTGGTTCAGAGGCGAAGGTGGTTGATCGTGGGACTGATGTATGGGATGCAGGAGACTTACAGAAGGGCTCCTTTCTGTCCTTGATATACGGGGCGATGCTAAAAGAGGCGTGGCAGCAAAAGGAAACAACAATGCAAAGTACCCAGCTTATGCGACTACTTTTGGCAAACTGCGCTCACGAGTTTCGAACGCCGCTGAACGCGATCATCAACTATCTTGAGATTGCATTGGATGGAGATCTAAATCAAGAGACTCGGGAGAGTCTTTCCAGATCGCATTCCGCTTCAAAATCCCTCATTTACATAATCAACGATCTCTTGGACCTCACAAACGCAGAGAACGGCATCAGCTTGATCAAAGACGAGAATTTTGATCTTGTGGAGACCATCCATGAAGCCTCGCGCATTTTCTGTGAAGAAGCGAGGCAGAAGGGTGTTGAGCTTCACGTTGTACAGTACTCTGATATTCCTCCCGTACTGGGAGACCAGCGGCGAGTACGACAAGTTATCACGAACCTCATCAGCAATGCTGTTCAGCATACATCTTCGTCGGGAACCGTGACTGTCGAATCATGCTTGTTGCCTGATTATACCGAGACTGGGAAACTTGGAACTGAAGTAGCTATCCACGACACTGGAACTGGCATGTCTCAGAACGACATTGAAGCACTTTTCTGTGAATTGGAGCAAGTTTCGAACAAAGATTACATACGAAGTCGAAGTCCCCAACGCTGCGATAATGCCATAACGAGCGACAGTAGCGGCTCGAGGAACATACTCGGGCTGGGTTTAGCCCTAGTTGCTCGCATAGTTCGCAATATGAACGGTCAACTGAGCGTCAAATCAGAGGAAGGCCAGGGGAGTTGCTTCAGGATCAAAATGCAGTTCCCTTTACCTACCGACGAGTCCAATGGAGAGAAACCTGATTGGAGCAGAGCGTCGCCTGTTGACAAAGGAAAAGGGAGGCAAAGTGAAACTGAAGATGGCCAAAACGAGCCTACCAAGCAAGATGAGACGGACTGCGGCGAAGATGACCGAGCTCGAGCAGGGAAGAATACTGGATCCTCAGAATGCACAGATTCCACAAAACATGAAAGCCATACATCAAACGACACAGTCACAGCAGGTCCTGCTCAACACGACTCTGCCTCGAAGCAAGAAGCACCCGGTGGCGGAACATGGGTGATAACGGAAAAGAGCCCAGACACCATACATCCTGACATAAGGACAAAGCCTCCGTCTGCCGACGCGGAAGGGCAAGCTC